ATTTAATATAGTTCTGGAAGTTTTAGCTAGAGTCTTAAGACATGAAAAAGGAACTAAAGATATATCCACATAGGTACAGAGGAAATAAAAATCTCTTTATTTTCAGATAACATAATCCTATATACAGAAAACCCTGAAGAGTCAATTAAACAATTGCTTGAACTAATTGGAAACTTTGGCAGCACAGCAGGCTATAAGATTACCATACTTCTGTATCAGTTGGATTTTTGTATACTAAAGCTGATGATACTGAAACATATATTTAAAATACCACTTACAATAGCTACACAAAAGATCAAACATTTAGGAATACATCTTACCAAAGAAACAAAAGACTTATACAAAGAAAACTACAAAACACTCCTCCTTCAAGAAACCAAAAGGAACTCACACAAATGGAACAAGTTACCATGTTTCTGGACAGGCAGAGCCAATATTGTGGAAATGTCAATGTTACCAAAAATACTTTAAAAATTCAATACAATTCCAATCCGAATCCGCCACAAATTTTCAAAGAAATGGAAAACCAATTACTGAGTTTATATGGAAAGGAAACAGACCTCGGATAAATAAAGCACAATTGAAAAATAAAAACAAAGTAGGAAGTCTTTCACGCTCAGACCTTAAGACCTACTCGATAGTCACAGTCATCACAGCAGTCTGGTGCTCGCACAATGGCAGACATGAAGGCCAACGATCAGAATGGAAAACCCAGAAATGTAACCAAGTACTTAAAGACATCTAACGCTTGATAAAACACATTACGTGGGCAGGAGACAGCCTTTTCAACAAATGTTGCTGGAAAAACGGGATCTTCACCTGCAAAAAATGAAACAAGACCCACACTTCACACCAGGTACAAGAACAAACTCAAGATGGATCAGAAACCTAAATGTGGTTTGTGATAAAGAGTTGTACGAGCCCCCAATAAAATGATTAAAAAAACAAAACCTAAATATAAAACACAGTTATTAAGACCATCAACAATAGAATAGGGACAAATTTAAGGACCCTAACACAAGGCATAAGCACATTACCAAACATAACGAATAATATCCACACTATAAAAGATAAAGAACTGACACCTATTAAATAGATAACATTTTGCACAACAAAAGAGTCAACAGAGAACCCAGAGTCGGAGAAATTATTCAGTAATGATACCAAAGATAATGAGCTAATCTCCAAAATCTATAGAAAACTACAGTATTTTAAGAAAAATACAAACAATCCAAATAAAATTGGGAAAATGCAAGTAATCTGATCAACATGGGTACAAGATAAGAGTAGACAATTTACCAAAGATTATATACAGGTAGTCAACAACCATATGACGAAATGTTCACATTCATTAGCAATAAGAGAAATACAAATTAAAGCAAAATTCAACAAAACAGTAAAAAGCTAATGCTGGAGAGGATGTGGAGATAAACAAGCGGCCATCTAGCTGAGAAGCAACAGAGCCCACATGGCAGGACACCAGGCTGTGTGATCACCAGGT